CCTCTAGCCCTTCCAAGCAGCCAGTCCTCCCCAGCCCCAGCGGCAGAGGTGCCGGGAGAAGTTCTAAGTGTCCATCTCTCCCCTCCCTGCCCTGTCCCCTGCCTGTCCACCTGACCCTCCTCACCTCTGCCGCTGGACTCCTTTGCTTCCTCCTCTCACTGCCTCTCCCAACAGCTCCAGCTGAATTACCTGGGAAACTACGTCCCTAATGGCTGGACTCCCCAGGGAGGCTGTGGGTTCTGCGGCCAGGACCGGAGGACACTCCCGGGGGGGCAGGTGAGGAGGGGGGCGGGAGGGGCGGGGGGGGGGGGCGTGGGCAGGACCAGGCACTGAAGCAGAGGGCGCAGGGAGAGCATGCTGGGCAGCAACACATGGGCCAGAGCTCCTGGGGACTCCCAACCTGGCAGGGTGGTGGAGGACACACCAGTTTGGGGGCCTGGGCTGTCCTCTGAGCCCCATCGTGTCATATCTTCCAGCCTCCCCCCCGGGTGCTTCTGGCTGTATTTGTAGAACAACCTACCCCGTTCCTGCCCCGCTTCCTGCAGCGGCTGTTCCTCCTGGACTACCCCCCCGACAGGGTCACCCTCTTCCTGCATAACAATGTGAGAAACCCCAGCAACCTCTCCCTTGTGCGCCCTCCCAGGGGACTCTGCCCCTGCCCCGACTGGAACTGCCACCCACCCAGACTCCTTCCTACACCCTTTCTCTCACCACCTTCCCCCTTCTGGGCCTCGGGCGCCATCTTTTCTGCCCTCTCCACCCCCCACCCCCCCCCCCACCGTCTCCAGGAGGTGTACCACGAGCCCCACATTGCAGACTCCTGGCCGCAGCTCCAGGACCACTTCTCAGCTGTGAAGCTGGTGGGGCCGGAGGAGGCCCTGACGCCAGGCGAGGCCAGGGACATGGCCATGTGAGTGAGCACTGGGCGGGGAGGACGGGTGAGGGCCGAGAGGTGCTGCCAGCCACTGCACCCAACCCCTTCCCTCTCCATGTGCCATGCAGCTTGGGTCAGCCTCCACGGGGGCACCCCCCAGCCAGGAGAACCTCGGGGTCTGGGGGAAGCAAGCACACCCCCCCTCCCCCCGTAGTCTTCCTCCTCTCCTCCCGGTGCTTCTACCCGCTTTCTTCTTCCCCTCCTCTGCAGGTGGTGGGGGGCGTTCTCCTGTCTGCCACACAGTCCCCTCCTCCCCCCGCCTGCTCCTGTTTTAGCTCCCCTGTTCATTGATCTGTCACCTCCAGGGACACTTGTCGGCAGGACCCGGAGTGCGACTTCTACTTGAGCCTGGATGCGGACGCTGTCATCACCAACCAGCAGACCCTGCGCATCCTCATCGAAGAGAACAGGTCGCTTGCCCGGCTCGGCCAGAGGGTCCCCAGATAGTCTCAGGGGAGTCCCCACCTCCTTCCCGGGGCCCAGGGCTCACCTCTGCCTGTCCACAGGAAGGTGATAGCGCCCATGCTGTCCAGGCACGGGAAGCTGTGGTCCAACTTCTGGGGAGCCCTGAGCCCCGACGAGTACTATGCCCGCTCGGAGGACTACGTGGAGCTGGTGCAGCGGAAGCGAGTGTGAGTCCTGCTGGGGGCCACAGCCCCTCTCCTCCAGCCCGGGCCCGCAGACGCCTGCGCCCCCCCCCCCCCCCCACCGCGCCCGAGGCCCCGCCAGTTGCGAGGGCACAGCTGTGGAACCGGGCTGACAGTGCAGCCAGCCTGAGGTGTTGTGACAGGGAAGCCGGTGGACCTTCTGGCTTGGAGAGTGGGGGTGCCCTGAGGGAAGGGGCTCCTGGGTTGAATTGGGCAGCCTTGGGGGAGGGTCACCCACCTAGCTGACGCCAGTGTGGGTGCCTCCAGGGGCGTGTGGAATGTGCCCTACATAGCCCAGGCATACATGATCCGTGGTGAGACCCTGAGGACAGAGCTGCCCCAGAGGGAGGTGTTCTCGGGCAGTGACACTGACCCAGACATGGCCTTCTGTAAGAGCCTGCGGGACAAGGTGAGTGGGACCCGGGTGCCCGAAGCCAGGGTGCTGGGAAGCAGCCAGCCGTGTCTCCTCACACCCCCCCCCACCCTGCCTGCCAGGGCATCTTCCTCCACCTCAGCAATCAGCACGAATTTGGTCGCCTCCTGGCCACTTCCCGGTATGACACCGACCATCTGCACCCTGACCTCTGGCAGATCTTCGACAACCCCCTGGTGAGTGCCTAACGTCTTGCTCAGAGAACAGGACATGCCCTTCACTATAGGAGGGCGCACGCACGCATGTCCTCGCTTCCAGGCTCCGCTCCTGCCTGGGGAGAGGCGGTCGTGGTCGTGGTGCTGGGGCTTCCTGGGTGGGACCGGAGGGAGTGAAGAGGGCACACATCAAGGTGCGCACCCCTCCCCATCCTCCCCCAGGACTGGAAGGAGCAGTACATTCATGAGAACTACAGCCGGGCCCTTGAAGGGGAGGGGCTTGTGGAGCAGGTGAGCCGCGAGCAGGACCCCTGACCGCCCTGGTGGCCACCGCCCCTGAGTCCACTGGCTGGATTAGTGGTTCCCAAACTGACTTCCCTCAGACAGATAAAGGCAAAGGCCGAGCAGATAGGCCTTCGGCTCCCCGCCCTGCCGCTAATCAGAGCGATCCTTTCTTGTTTATTGGGCCTATTAGTGTTGTGGGTAAAATGACAGTTTTGTAAAGAAGCCCCAAACCTGGGGTTCTGGCACCTTCCTGCCTTCTGTGCTGGGTCCCCTGCACCGCTCCCACCTTCTCCGGCCCTGCCTTTCCTGGCCCATCCCCATGCTCAGATCCCCATTCCTCCAGCTTCTCCCATCTCCCGGCTTCTCTTTCTGCTCCCTGCTTTCGCTCCCCTGGGTTGGCTGCCTGTCTCCTCCGGAGAGGTCTGCAAGCATCCCCCGGCCCTGTTGTTCTTCCTCTGTCGGTCCTCAGCCGTGCCCAGATGTGTACTGGTTCCCGCTGCTGTCTGACCAGATGTGCGACGAGCTGGTAGAGGAAATGGAGCATTACGGCCAGTGGTCAGGAGGCCGGCACGAGGTGAGAGGGGCCGGGGCAGGGGAGGAGGCGAGGGCCACCGGGCGAGGGAGGTGCGGCTGTGATGGAGGGGAATGGAATCAAGAGAGTGGGAGCAGAGAAGGGGACCCCCAGGGGGGACCTACAGGGGGCACAATTGCGTGTGTGTGCGTGTGCATTCATTCAGGAACTCCTTCCTGGGGCATGCAGGTCCCAGACATTGGCTACTGACCTAGGCGATGTGGCACGTTGAGCTGTCCTGGTCAAGCCCTGCCCTCCGGCCCCTCACCTGCTAGAGTCAGTAACAACAGCCCTGCTCCTGAAGGCTGACGGGCAGCCCAGATGCTGTGGGAGTCACAGGCGGGGCTTTGGCCCAGACGTGGGGGGACCGAGGGGCTTCACAGAAGAGGTAACATCTTCAGGGCCAGGGGGAGTGAGTCAGGCTAAGTGGTCAAGGCTGCCAGACCCGGGTCACACAAGCTTTCAGGCCTGAGAGCGAGAGGAGAGGGAAGCTGGCGCGGCCCTGTTGGGGCTCAGTGCCCACCGCCCACAGGACTCGAGGCTGGCGGGAGGCTACGAGAACGTGCCCACCGTGGACATCCACATGAAGCAGGTGGGCTATGAGGACCAGTGGCTGCAGCTGCTGAGGACGTATGTGGGACCCATGACAGAGAGCCTGTTCCCAGGCTACCACACCAAGGTGGGCCGCCACTCCTGCTACCCTGCTTCTACCTTCCCACACCTGGGTCCTGGCTGGAAGTCTCCCCATGGTGCCGTTTCAGCCCCCATAGCATCCGGAGCCTTGTGGAAAGGGCTTCCGCAGGAGGGCAGCCGGGAGGAGTTAGTAGAGAGACCCCCGCGGCCCTCCCCCTACCACCCTCCTCAGAAGGCCCCCGGGACCTCACGGCCATCCCTCCAGTGTCTCCTATCACGTCTCCACAGACCCGGGCAGTGATGAACTTCGTGGTCCGCTACCGGCCAGACGAGCAGCCTGCTCTGCGGCCCCATCACGACTCGTCCACCTTCACTCTCAACGTGGCCCTCAACCACAAGGGCCTGGATTATGAGGTGAGCCCGAGCGCCCTCCCGCGTCAGGGCACCAGCAGGGCCCCTCCACACGTGCACGCGTGCGCACATGCACACACTTGAGCCCCCGGGACTTTGCTCTCCTGCCCCCTGATGACCCCTACACACCCTTCAGTCACCTGCCCTGCCCCACGGCACGTCCTCTTCACGTTTCTAATTACTTCGAATGTGCCATCTCCTGGACCTCTTCCAGGCTGTGTGCCTCGCCACGCCCCCCCGTGCCTCCCTTGTGTGCCAACACCCCAAAACCCCGTGCCTGCCTCCCTCCCCACTGTGGCCCTCCAGCCCCCCAGCCCCCTGTCTGCTCACTGTCCACTTCCGTTCCCCTGTCCTCTTCCAGGGAGGTGGCTGTCGCTTCTTGCGCTATGACTGCATAGTCTCGTCCCCACGGAAGGGCTGGGGTCTCCTGCACCCCGGCCGCCTCACCCACTACCACGAGGGGCTGCCCACTACTCGGGGCACTCGCTACATCATGGTGTCCTTTGTCGACCCTTGACACTCAACCACTCTGCCAAACCTTCCCCGCCGTTGTGCCTTCCTGCGCCCCCCTCCTTGGAGATGGGGGTCTGTCTGGCGCCTCCCTTCCTGAGTGGATGTTCGGCGTGCCTGGGACTGAATGTGTCGCCTCCCCCCCCAACACACGGCCCTCTCAGGAAGCTCCTGGAGCCCCCTTGCCCCTCCCCACAGTCCCCAAAGATTCATGGGGAGAAGGCTTCTGGGGTTCCCCATACAATAAATTATTGTTTCTCAGCCTCCCTCCCAATAAAGGAGGATTTGTAACTCGTGAGTCCGCGTTCGTCTTTCCCCTCCCTGCTGACCCCGTATCCCTCCTGCCCCCAGAGCGGAGGGAAGACCTGGAGCTACTCCAAAGAAAAAGAACAGAGAGGAAAAGGCAGAAAGCAGATGGTAGAGCAGCGTGGGAACCGAGAAGCTTCCCTGGATCCCATTTCTCACTCTGCTGTATTGCCTAGGGGTTGCGGGGGAGCCTGAGAAGGGCCAGGCACCCAGGGCTTCACTTAGATTCAGGTGAAAGCCCACCCTGGCCTCCCCCAGCCTCTTCTCCCTGACGCGCTCTCATCCCTTGAGGGCATCTTCTTCCTTGCACGAAGCAAGGGGGTGGCAGAGCCCTGAGCTGGCCTCTGGGGACAGTGCTAAGGGAAGGGAGGCCCCCTGGAAGCATGTGTTCCAAGGGAAGACACAGGGGGCTTCTGGGACCCAAGCTTTCGTCAGGGAGGATCAGGAAAAGGGAAGCCTTGGAGGGTCATCCCAAGAAAGCTTCCTGGAAGAGGGGAATAGAAAGTAGCCTTGAAAAAGAGGTGAGACCTCCTGAGAGCTGATGTCTTCCAGCTTCTGGGGGGCCATCAAGCTCTTGCTAAGCCAGCGAAACCCCTGGAGGCACCCTGAGGACCTCAGGCCATGTTCCTTTAGCTTGATCCTTCGCAGGTCCTAGCACCAGCCTACCTTCCTGAATGTCTCTCCCAACTGGTCCCCTGCAGAAGCCTTTTGAAAACCAAATGGGCCCATTTGCTGGTCCTTGGGCATTTCTTGCCTCCAACATCTCACATGCAATCCACCCCTTTCTTGCTATTGCCTGGACTCCCAGGAAAACCTCTGTGAAGCCTTCCTTCCTGACAGGTGGGACTGGTCCCCCTTCCGTGTGGACTGAGCATCTCTCTGGCCAGACTTTTCAGTGCATCTCACCCAGTCTCCCTGCGGATGGAAGTAGGCTGAGCAGGGACAGGAGACATTACTTCCTGGGGTGGGGTGAGGGGCAGCCCACAGGAGAGTGAAGCAGGGGGCAGGACAGAAAGGGTGAGCCAGCCTGCGTGGCATTGGATGCTGGCTCATCCTGTCTCCTACCATGCTCATTTACTGAGCATCCCTCACCTGCTGGGCACCTGTCACAGGGTTAGAGTTGATGAGAACAACAGCTGGCTTCTTGTGGCTCACAGCTGGGGTAGACCTTAGCCAGAAAATCGCCATGAAGGAGGGAACGTGGGAAAGTATTTTATGCCAGGAGAGAATGGGACAGAAGATGTATGTCAGACTCGCCTAAAGAAATGACATTCCCTGACCCGGAGAGGGTCCACAGCTCTGGCCCGTGTTGGGGAGGGCCCCGGCCATGTGAAGACTGGTCCCCGCATACTTGGAGGGTGTGCCCTTTTGGGCTGGCCAATTGCTGGCCTTTCTGGCCATTCCTGCTGGAATGTCTCCCCACAGAAGCCCAAGCTACTCCTTAGGGGCCAGACCAGGGCAAAAAGGGGTTTCTAGCTGCTCTCACTTGTGTGGGGAGCCCTGCCATTCGTGGTACATACCAGCCTGGCAACACCCCATTTTCCCAGACCTCTGCCAGCCAGCTCCTCAGAGGCCCCTCAGAGGCCCAAGGTCCTGACCTCGCAAGGTCCACACACCCTCACTCCCAGGCTCCTGGCCACGCCCCTGGGCATTTCTGTTTGGTCCTATTGGTCACAACCCTGTGAGCTCGGGTAGTCGTTAACCCTTTCTTGCTGGGGCTCACAAGGGTACAGGGTTCAGGTCAGCAAGGGGGGTGGACACAGGAGCCAAACCAGGGCCAAGGGTCAGGGCGAGGGGGTTGGACCACAGGGAGTGTACTTAAGAGCCCACGGTGGTCCCTATGGGATGTGCCTCCACAGTATGCCAGCCTCCTCCAGCCACCTTGCCGGGGTCTTCAAGTGGTTGCTGTCCTGCGATGGGTCTTCTCCTACTTGGGGCTTGGTGAGGCTCAGCACCTGGCACTCTGCTTCCCTGTTACCAGGAGGGAGGCAGGACAGGGCTCTCTGGGGGCTGCTGAAGGAATGAGAAGGAATTAGCTGGGCAAGAGGGCCTCCAACAGGGACGAGAGGGCAGAGGCAGGTAACTGGGGACTTAAATGCCTGGGTCCTTAATATCCCCCACTCCATCCTCCAGCCCAGGTGTGCCTGGCCTCGCTGCTCCTTGCTCTTTAAGCTGAGCAGGGACACGCCGCCGAGGGCAGGAGGCCGACGATCTGCCTGGGTCCGCAGCTGGGCCATCTGGAGACATTTCCCACATTGTGTCCCTGTCTTGGTGAGGCCATCCAGGAGTGGTGTGCTGAGTGGGGGCAAGGCTTTGGAATAGACTCTTCTCTGGTTACCCCCCAAAGTCTAATCTCACGGTCAGAGTGGAGTATGTTGCCTCTGCCCCCAGCTGGTTAAAACCGCCGAACTGGATCCCTCTGGCAACTACCTCTTCAGCTTCCACCCTCACGTGGTCCTGGTCACCGGGGCCTTCAGCAACTTCTGCGCGGAGGCCACCGGCTTCTCCAGCCTCTTAACCTGGCCTCCGGCCACACCTCCTCATGTTGCCTTGTTGGTTCTACCTCCCTCTCTTCCCAGACTACATCATGTGTAGTGGTGAGAAGTGGGGAGATCCCCCAGTCCCTGCTGTGTCACCCCCCACATCCCTGGGGTGGGGGGGGTGGGAGCTCCTGGTCCCAGCTCTACCTTCCTGGCACCCTCCCCCCCCTTTTCTCAAAGACCCAGGCATCTGGGCCCCCTCTCCCCTCCCCCCAGCTTTGGTGCCCGCTGACAAGGCCAGCGGCTGCCTGTCTGTTGTTCCGGCCTGGGGGCGGCCAGGTGGCGGTCCTGGACTTGGGAGGGCCCCTGGAAGCGCTGGAAGCAAAAGCCGGCGAGCTGATTTTGTGGATCCGGAATCAGAAGGGCTTTGTCGCGTTGGCGCGGGAACAAGGGTGAGGAAGCCGCAGTGGCCGGGCGGGACGCTCGCGGGCTACCCTGGCGCGGAGGAGCGTGGCGCGCCGGCGAAACCCGGAGTCAGGCGCGCCTCGGCTCTCCCCCAGGGCCTCCCTGGTGCCCTGCTTTCTCTTTCGGGGCAACGAGCTCCTCCAGCAGTTCCCGAACCCTCCCGGCTCGCGGTTGCGGAGCGCGCGGGAGGCGCTGCAGCCGCTGCTGAGCGTGGCCCTGCCGCTGTTCCCAGGTCCCTTGGGCCTCCTCCTGCCTTTCCGCACGCCCGTGCACACCGTCGGCGAGCCCCGGCCTCTGCCCCCTCGGCTCCCCGCCGGCGCACCGGCTCCCGCGGAGCTCCGGCCCCGCGCGCTCCCGGCGCCAGGAGGTGAAGGTCCCTGCCTGCTGGCCACGCCTTGGCCGCGCCTCATCCCCTTTGGCAACCGGCCCGGCCCTGAACCCTGTCCCGGACGGTCGCGCGGCTGGGCGGGAAGGGCACGGGCTGGAGAGCCCAACCACCGCCCCTCTGGCGTCCCGTTCTGCCCACCGTGGGGGCCCCGATCCCGGTGCAGCGAAGCCCGCGGCCCAGCCGGGCGCAGGTGGACGCGCTGCACGCGCTCTCGCGCAGCTGTTCGAGCAGCGCGAGGCGCGCCACGGCCTCCCGGCCCACCCGCACCCCCTCCTCGCCTGGGCGCGCCGCCCCCGCCCTCCCGGTGCCCGCGGCGGCCGTGGGGGGGGGGGGATTAAACGTGGCAACGGAGCTGCGGTGTGTGCGTGTTTGTGCGGGGCCGTGCCTCCGGGTGATCCTGACCCTCCCGGAGACCTGCACCCAGATCCGGGGCGCGCAGCGGGGGCGTGCCCGGCCGCCCTGGAGATCCCACGGTCTCAGCGGAGCTTCTGGCCCCCGCCCGCGGCTGGGACCCGGTGGGCGGGCTCCCCGGCTCCTTCTGAGCCTCCTCCCCACATCGGTTCCCGGACGGCTGGCACACTCACTATATCCCTCACCTATTCCCTGCAGCCTCCCAGCTCCGCCCAGCGACCAGCCCAAACCGACCAACGCTTGCAGTTCAAAGATTATTCTGGGGACGTCTGGGGCTCCGGATCCACACACACGCGCAACACACCCGCAGTCCCGGGAGAGCCCAACCTTCTTCGTTTGTGCTCCGGGCCCTGGAGCCTCGCTGGCAGAGGGCAACGACTGGGACAGGAGTCTCCACAGCCCCGCCGCGACCCCACCATGGAATCCGTGCAGAAACAGTGGCCAAAAGTAGTGAGCGCCTACCAATACGTGCTCACTTTCCTCTTCATGGGTGAGAGGCCTGGTGCCCTGGGGTCCCCAAAGGGAGCAGGGACCTGGGGGAGAAAGGCTGGGGCCCCATTTGCCTGTGTGCCTAAGGGCAAAGGGACCAGGAGAGGGCCAGAGTTCAGGCTGGGAGATGGCTGGGTACACACCAGCCATCTGTGAGGGGGGAGGAGAGAGCCGCTGCATGGAATGACCCATCTTCCAAAGCTAATGCACTCTTCTTTGTCATCTTTCCCACAGGCCCTTTCTTCTCCCTTCTTGTCCTCTTCCTCCTCTTCACGTCATTCTGGTCCGTCTCTGTTCTCTACTTGGTGTGGTTCCTCCTGGACTGGGACACGCCTAACCAAGGTGAGTGCTGCTGGGCATGTGCCCAAGGAGCGGAGATGGTGGCCAGGTGCCTCCAGAAATTCTTCAAAGCATCTCTCTGCCCCAAGGTGGAAGGCGCTTTGAGTGGACCAGGAACTGGGCCGTGTGGAAACACGCCAGGGATTATTATCCTATCAAGGTGACAGGTTACCCTCCACAGAGACAGTCTTCCTCCTCCCTCTCCTCAACCCCCACCCCCACCCCTACTCACCCCTGCCTATGCACCCTGGGCTCCCTAAACTCAGACAGTGGGGCATGGGGCAGGGGCTGCCGAGTGGTGTTCCAGAGTAGGCTCTCTGTGCTGCGCACTCCATTCAAGGACCTTGAACTCTGAAGTCGGTTAGGGTGGAGGGCAACTCTTTTCAGCTGGTGTCCTGCCTTCCACGCCTCTTTCCCCTCATCCTACCTAATCCCCTCTGCCCCAAGCTGGTGAAAACAGCCGAGCTGCCCCCTGACCGGAACTATGTGCTGGGTGGCCACCCACATGGGATCATGTGCATCGGAACCTTCTGCAATTTCTCCACCGAGGCCAACAACTTCTCCAAGCAGTTCCCGGGGATTCAGGTCTCATCGGCGGCGCTGGCCTCCCTCTTCCACTTCCCAATCTATCGTGACTACATCATGTCCTATGGTGAGCCTCGAGCTGAGTGGGATGAGGCACCTGTTCCCTCCGCCCACCCTTGACTGCCTCCCACGCACCTCCCACAGGGACCTGGCCTAAACATTGGCCTGGCTCACAGTGGGCATCAGTGAATAGCTCTGGTTGCAGCAAATGTCCTGCATCCTTGCTGGGAGAGGCACTGTAGGTCACACCGACACGGGCGTGGGGATGGCAGGTTTGGAGGGAATGGGGTGTGGGGCTCACTAAAGGGTGGGTGAGGGGCTAGGCAGCCCAGAAGGGCGTGGTGACCGTTCCCCACCTCCTCACACACGCAGGAATATGTTCTGTGAACCGGTGGAGCCTGGACTTTGTTCTGTCACAGCGCCGGCTCGGGCAGGCTGTAATCATCATGGTTGGGGGTGCCCAGGAGTCCCTGTATGCCATCCCAGGAAAGCACTGCCTCATTCTCCGGAATCGCAAAGGCTTCGTGCGCCTGGCACTGAGGCATGGGTGAGTGGGGTGCAGGTGCCCAGCCCGGGGCTGCTGTTGATGGTCAGAACTTCAAATTGTGTCTGCGGCTCTACACTCTTTTGTCCCTACCCATCCAGGTCCCTGTAGCCGGGCCTCTGTGTCCCCAGAGCCCACACTGTGCTCCCCGGTGCATGTCAACACTTGAGCACTTTCTCTGTGCCAAGCACCGTGCCCACTTTTGCCAGGCTTCTGCCCTCTCTGAAAGAGCAGGATCATAGTGCAAGTAGCAGGACCTTGGGCTCAGGAGTCCTGGATTCAAAGCCCTTTCTGACACTACCTCAAAGGCGAGACCTTGGACATGTTTCTGTGAGATAGGACTAATACTTACCTTGCTACAATGCTGTAGTTGCAGAGACTTGATGAGAAAATGTATACAGTTGACCCTTGAACAACATGGGTTTGAACTGCAACAGGTCCCTTATACACGGATTTTTTTTACAATATAGTACTGTAAATGTATTTTCTCTTCCTGATGATTTTCCTTTTTTTAAGATTTGATTCATTTATTTATTTGAGAGAGAAAGTACATGCGTGAGTGGAGGGAGGAGCAGAGGGAGAGGCAGAGAACCTCAAGCGGACTCCACACTGAGTGCAGAGTCCAACTTGGGTTTCGGTTCCACAACCCTGAGATCATGACCTGAGCTGAAACCAAGAGTTAGCCGCTCAGCCAACTGAGCCACCCTGGCACCCCCTGATGATTTTTTTTTTTTTTTTAGATTTTATTTATTTGAAAGAGAGAGAGAGCGGGAGAAAGAGCATGAGTTGGGGGAGGGGCAGAGGGAGAGAGAATCTTAAGCAGGCACCCTGCTGAGTGCAGAGCCTGACACGGGGCTGGATCCCAGGACCCTGGGATCATGACCTGAGCTGAAGGCAGACGCTTAACGGACTGAGCCACCCAGGCGCCCCTAGCTTACTTTATTATAAGAATACTGTATATAGTACATATACAAAATATTTGTTAATTGACTGTTATTGGCCATGCTATTAGTAGTTAAGTTTTGGGGGAGTGTTAAGTTATATGAGGATTTTTGGGGTGGGGGTCAGTGCCCCTTACCCCATGTTGTTCAAGGGTCAAGTAGGGAGGGATTTGCGGCTCTGTCTTGGGATGCTCTGAAAGCCACTGGCCTGACCACCCTTCTTTTCTCTCCTTGTCCCTTCCCAGGGCCTCCCTAGTACCTGTGTACTCCTTTGGGGAGAACGATGTCTTTAATTTTAAGGTTTTTGCCACAAACTCCTGGCAGTATATGTGCCAGATCACCTTCAAGAAAATCATGGGCTTTGTTCCTTGCATCTTCTGGGGCCACGGGCTCTTCTCGGCCAACTCCTGGGGCCTGGTGCCCTTCGCCAGGCCCATCACCACTGTGGGTGAGTACCCATCTCCAGGCAAGAAAGCTGCTGTCGGCTGTGTGGGCAACAGAGCTCCCCCGCCAACCTCTGTCTCTCCTCTTCCTGCAGTGGGCCGCCCCATCCCAGTGCCCCAGCGCCTGGACCCCACTGAGGAGGAAGTTGACCACTATCACATGCTCTATTTGGAGGCTCTGGAGCAACTCTTCGAGGACCACAAGGAAAGCTGCGGTGTTCCAGCTTCTACTCACCTCACCTTTATCTAGCCCTTGCCGTCCCCCCCCACCCCGCCCCCAGCCCTGAGCCCCTCAGCCCAGGGCACCGAGACCCCCCACCTACTGCCTCTCTGTACTGCTCCTTCTCTCCCACCACTATGTTGTAGAATCTGATGCCTGCAGAGCTTGCACCCTGGCTCTGGGGGTAAGGGGGCCCAGGCATGATCCACCCTCATTCTCCTGTACTGCGAAGCTGCTGCTTTGGATTGGGGATCGGAATTCCCCTCCCAGCAAGCCTTAATTCTGCTGCATGACCTTGCGTACATCTCTTTCCTTTGCTGATCCCTTTCTCCCTCTGTGAATGAAGGTGTCTGCTTCCCCAAGAGATGTAGGGCCTTGGGATTAAGTTGGGGCGGGCGGCTCTAGGGAGGGGTTCGCTTTGCAGGGTGAGCTGGAGAAGATAGGATGGATGGTGGAATAGTCAGCCTGAGCAAAAGCTGAGCTTGGTTAAGGGTTCCTGGCCATATGGGAAGTGGAGTGATCTCCGATGGTAGACAAGGTAGCGTTGGTCCATAGCTTGTTACTGCACCCCTCTCCATCCTTTATGTTTCCTTGTGGCTGGGAGATGAATGAAACAGGGACCTGTTTGATCAGCACGAAGCCCAGCTGCTAGCCCAGTGTTAGGTCAACATTAACCCAGTCGCTCAGTAAGCACAGGACTCTTGTGATGATCAAAGAATTAAGATGTAAGGGCTTAGAACGGAGATTGGCAAAATATCATCATTCCTCATCACAGACAAGGTGTCAGTCCAAGGAGAGGGTAAGACCGGACAGTCTAAGGGTCCTCATGTGGTCATAGCATTCCCTGACAACATCAGTCCTGTTTGCTGACTGGCTTTGCGTCTGTATCCAGGACTTCAGAAAAACTTGCTGAAATGTAATTGGAATGCAACTGTATTAGTCTCCCACTGTCCTATAAAACACATTCAGTAGAAGAATTTTGTTGTTGTTGTTGTTCCTGGAGGAAAATCTGAGCAGCCCCGGGACTTATCTGGGTCACAGGTGGTAATTTCTTCATTCACCTTAAGTTGGTACATAGACATGTAGCGTGAGTAGTAATCCACACTTGGATCTTCATCCAAGGGTAGGAACCTTCCATCTCCAGCAAGGGCAGCAAGTGGGATACCTGCTTGACCAGAAGGGGCAGCTGGGGAAGGTGGAGTAGAAAGGGGATGGAGCTGACCTCTTTCTTCCCCCACCTCCTCCTCCCTTTCTAGCCTCTGTTACTGAACCCTAGGGACTGGAGTATGGGGCAGAGGAGGAGAAAGAGGATCCCAAACATTCTTGACGACATTGTCCTAGGATAGCTTCATATTCTCTGGGCCTCCAGACCTTCCAAGCTGATTCCTTTGCCTCGGGGCGGGGGGGGGGCTCTCCTGGGTTCTTCAGAGTATTCTCTTTTAGATTCCTCTGCCTCATCATCTGTCCCTGGTTTTGGGCCCATGGCACTCGACATAGGATTTCTCCTTAGGAATCCCATTGCTTTTCTAGGCTGGGAAGTAGAAAGAGGGATGGAAAATAAACAGCTCCAGGTTGGAACATGCTTAGCTTGGATACCATTAGAATATAGGCTGGGCTCAATGCAGCCACTTGTCCTTCCTTCTTTCCTGAATGGGAACATCCAGTCAGCTACCATCTAGCCATTAGACTTCTCTGGTGGACACGTCCCCCAAACCCTGGGGCATGCTGACCTCTTTGAGTCTTGCAACCTTTGTCACTGATCCTGTGGAGAAAAGCCTTGCCCTCCAGGGTAAGGCTCGCAGAGCTCAGAAGTCCTTCCCCCACACCTCTCTCCTTCTTGTCCAAATTCCAATCTTTGTCATGGGTCGGGGACTCAAGAGTATCTTCTCAATCATTTACTTGGAATATGTGGTCTTGCTTGGTGCATATTGTCTGGTCTGGTCACCTCTGGAATGCATCGCCTACTTGTTGGAACTTCGTGCCCCAAACTGTTTTTCTCTGGATTCTATCCCAGAGGGACAAAGGCATCAACTTCTAGTGAGAACCTGCCACCAAGAGCTGGTGGTATGAGGATTAGATCGCTGTGGGCCTTCCTCCAAGAACCCCCCTGCCCTTCTCCCCTGTGAGTGGTAGATGCCTATCTCTGGGGAGGGGAGGTTGGGCTGGGTGGTAGGTGAGGAGTGGGACCTTTGAGGACTGGGGGAGAGGGAGGAGAGGACTTCACTCCCCATCAGTCATTTCTCCTGTCTGAAATCCAAGACCAATAGAGTCAGGGGATGGGAGGGATTGGCCTGAGGCTGGAGAGAAACAGGAGAGGCCAAGAAGCACAGTAAGGACTGGGTTGGCCCTAGAGTAAAAAGGAGTAAAGTGCTCCCAGTACTTGTGAAAACAACTGGGCAAGTTTCTCAAGAAAGTGATCATGTCTGATCCCGGTGGAGAGAGGGAGAATTGAGAGGGAACATTATGTTTCATGTGGAGACATCTGGGTGAGAGGAGATGTCACAACACAAACCAGAAAGGTACAGGAAGTTCAAGATCAGGCTTCTGTCTCTGGGAGAGAGACTGGGTGCCCATATCCATATGTGTGTTTTGGGGGTGGGGTGCAGCAAGCAGAATGTGTCATCAGTGCTGAGGGCTTGGCAAGACTATGCAGGGCAGAGGGAGTTGGAAATGACACCCCTGGGGCGCCTGGGTGGCTCAGGTCATGATCCCGGCGTCCTGGGATTGAGCCCTGCATGGGGCTCCCTGCTCAGCAGGGAGTCTGCTTCTCCCTCTGCCTCTGCCCCTCCCCCTGCTTGTGCTCTCTCTCTCTCAAATAAATAAAATCTTTTAAAAAAGAAAAGAAGGTGACACCCCTGGACAATGACAATTGTCCCCTGCTGGATTGAGATACCAGGTGAGACACTCAGAATGGCTCTTTGCACATCAGTCCCCTGTTTCCCAGAAGCCGCTCCTCAGCAATCAGAGAGGTCTTGCCTCTTCTCTCCCATCCAACCCCTTCTCCTGCTGTCAAGATGCTCTTTGAAAAACACTGCTTTCTTCATGTAATTCTCCCTGCTGGATCCTCACTGTCACTGGATTCTCGTTGTTAGAAGGTGTGAAATCCTCAGCCCTGCATTCGAGGTAGCTTTCAAACAGAGCCCAGCCCGGCTTCCCAGCCATCCCTGACTCGGCCCTCCTTCCTAAGTCGAGAATGGATGGAACTCCTACCAAGGAGTCACAGCTCAGCTCCCAGGGCTCAGCCCTCACTATGTGCGGACCTTCAGGTTCACGCACTGCCTCTAATCCTCCCATCTACACCACAGTGTCCCCGCTGAGCTCGAAATGAGGTATGCATGGAAGGGCTTAGCGTGGCACCTGGCAGGGTGCTCAGCAAACATTAGTTATTGTCACTCTTATCTCGCCCACCTCTTTCCACACAATCTTTTCCTAGCCATGGCCACATCCCAAGCCTTACACTATGGGATCCGCATTATGTGCACCATCACATTATGTGGACTGGTGTTCTGTTACCCCAAACATATGGCTCATCCACGATCTTTTTTTTTTTCTGAAGATTTTATTTATTTGACAGAGAGAGAGATAGCGAGAGCAGGAACACAAGCAGGGGGAGTGGGAGAGGGAGAAGCAGGCTTCCCGCGGAGCAGGGAGCCCGATGCGGGGCTCGATCCCAGGACCCCGGGATCATGACCTGAGCCGAAGGCAGACGCTTAACGACGGAGCCACCCAGGCGCCCTCATCCACGATCTTTTATCTCATATTATTAAATGCGGATGTTAAGGGCGGGAAGTGTGTCTTGTTTGTTTTTGCATTTTGACCGTGTTCTGGTGATGGCCATGCACCAGGCATGAACAAATGAAGCGTGTCCAAGAGACCTGTGCAGAGGGAACCAGCTGCGTCATTTGTAGATTGTGCCCAGCACCAGGAAGCCCAGCTGGGGGAGGGGGGCAGGGGTGCATGGGAATTCCCTTCACAGAGCCAGAAGCCGGGGGGGGGGGGGTTGCATCCATTGTGGGAAGAGAGGAAGATATACTAGTTTCCTAACAAAGCACCACTCACTTGGTGATTTGGTTTTTTTCTAGATTTTATTTATTTATTTGACAGAGACAGAGAGAGTGAGCACAGGTGGGGGGTGGGGGGTGGGGGGGGTGGCAGGCAGAGGGAGAGGGAGAAGTAGGCACCCTGCACAGCAAGGAGCCTGATGTGGGACTCGATTCCAGGACCCTGAGATCATGACCTGAACCAAAGGCAGACATTTAACCGACTGAGCCACGCAGGCGCCCCGCACTTGGTGATTTAAAACAACAAAAATTGTCTCACAATTCTGGAGACCAGAATCGAGTGTCAGCAGGGTCTGTTCCCTCTGAAACCTGTAGAAGGGAAACCCTCCCTCCCTTCTTCCAGCCCTGGGTGGTGCCATCAATCCTTGGCCCACACCTATGTCACCCAGTCTCTGTCTCTGCTGTCACATGGCCTTCTCCCTCTGTGTCTCATCCAAATCTCCCTCTCCTTATAGAACGCCAGTTCTAGATTCGATTAGGGCCCACCCTTATTCAGTATGACCTCATCTTAATTTGATTATGTCTGCAAATAACCCATCTTCAAATAAGGTCTCTTTTGCGGGTACTAAGGGTTAGGACTTCAATATATCTTTTTGAGGTGGGGAGGGGGGCAACAATTCAGCCCTCAACAGCTGCCTTTAAAAATTCACACGGAAGTCCTCTGCTTATGCCTGGGGTCTGCACAACCCCCCAGAGATGGTCTTTTGTGCAAATTATGTTGGGTGGTGGTGAGCATTCACTACGGGATCTTTTCTTGGGGAAGTGTGCGTGGCAGGTGCATAGATACAAGAACATGGATCACTAGACCTTCCTGAAGTGTCTATTGTATTTTCAAGAGGTCTGGGGCCCACAGTACAAAACCGTTAATGAACTTCCCAGTGTCACTCCTTTTCCAATGTAGCCGAATGATAAACCCCAACACTGTGATTTCTCCTCCTGATCTGGAAGAGTCTAACTTATAAATATATGAACTGAGGAAACCTTATGAGTAACTTGATGCCTCCTCTGGCTTTTTCCTTCCCTGTCATCCTCCATGTGGCCACCAGAGGGCTGTCTCTACTCACAAGGCAAAAGTGTCACTCCTGCTTAAAACCTTCCCCCGCTGCCCACAAGATGGGTACAACCCAGAACTACTTCTTCTTGTGAAGCAGGCTGTTGCTCTGGGCTTTGCTCAGGCTGTCCCCTCCCCCTTGGCGAGACCTTGCCTTTCTTTATCCTTCTGGAGGGGATTTTTTTTTTTTTAAGATTTTATTTTTAAGTAATCTCTATACCCAACGTGGGTCTCGAACTCATAATCCTGACATCAAGAGTCTCAAGCTCTAAGGACTGATCCAGACCGGCGCTCCTGGAGGGGAATTTTTAATACCCAGTTAAGGTGGCATTTCTAGGACACCTCCCTTAACCTATCAGCCTGCCAGGTTGGTTCAGGGCATCCCACCTCTGCATCCCTAAGAGCTCCATCACAACCCTTCTGTGTCACTGTGATGCACCAGTTTATCCAAAAAGTTGGATAACTTGAGCATCTGGAAGGGACGGTAACTGTATCATATTAAACATGCTTAAAACCCATGAGTTCATAGTGGTTCTAAAAATAATAATTGATCACCATTGAAAGTTGTTGAGGCATCAACTTTTTATTTTGAAGACCAACAAATAAAAGGAAAAATTTTAAAGCATTTAAATGTCCATGGAGCCGGACGTGGGGCTCGATCTCACGACCCTGAGATCATGACCTGAGCTGAAATCAGGAGTCGGTTGCTTAAGAGACTGAGCCACCCAGGCGCCCCCAGACATTTATTTCTCATGGGTCTGGAGGCTACAAGTCCATGATCAAGGTGCTGGTAGATTCAGTTTCTGGTGAGAGCTCTCTTCCTGGCCTGTAGACAGCCACCTTCTTTCTGCCTCCTCACAAGGCCTTTTTCTGCAAATTTGAGGGTAGAGAAGGATCTCTGGTGTCTCTTCCTCTTATAATCCTATTGGATTTGGGCCCCACCTTTATGATCTCAGTTAGCATTGCTCACCTGTGTAAAGGCCCCTATCTCTGGGCGCCTGGGTGGCTCAGTCGTTAAGCGTCTGCCTTCGGCTCAGGTCATGATCCCAGGGTCCTGGGATCGAGCCCCTCATCGGGCTCCCTGCTCGGCGGGAAGGCTGCTTCTCCCTCTCCCACTCCCCCTGCTTGTGTTCCCTCTCTCACTCTGTCTCTCTCTGTCAAATAAATAAATAAATAAATAAATAAATAAATAAATAAAATCTTTAAAAAAATTTTTTTTAAAGGCCCCTGTCTCCAAATACAGTCACACCTTCAACATTTGAATTGGGGGGTGGGCACAATTCCATCCCTATCACCGTGATGAAGATTTACTGAAATACCAGAAATGATATGAGGTCTGAAACTTGTTTCAAAATATCGGCGTGCTTGCGGTGTCCAACGATATCAGCTCTGAGCTGGTAATTGTTGAAGCTGATGATAGGCTAGTGAGGCTTCATTATACTGTTCTATTTTTGGGGTGTGTTAGATAGTCTCTAGAATAAGAGTGGTGGGGTTTTTTTGATGGCTAGCTCAACTGAGCTCTTCGAGAGCAGAAATGGACCCATCAAAGCGACGTTAATGTTTGCAAATAAATGACAGACATTACAACCAATGTTGGTTCATGTGGACCGGAGAGAGGAACCTGGTGATGGGTGGGGAGAGAAGATGTGGAATTTCAGGGACTTCTAGGCACAAGCCTTCATACTGAACCTTTAGAAATGCAGCATGAGGCTGGGTTGTGCATTGGCTTGGGGTCAAGATACCAGGAGTCTGGTTTTACCTCTACCCAGTGGGTGACCTTTGATAAATGATCAAAGGTGGTTTCACCTTCCCCCACCCTAGAACTAAGTTGAAGTCATTCCTTCTTTCATAATATACTTATTAAGCACTTACTGTGTGCCAAGACCTGAATGAAGTACCAGAGGTATAAAGATAGCTTTAACAACAGGGCGCCTGGGTGGCTCAGTTGGTTAAGCGTCTGCCTTAACCCAAAACCCAAAAATCTGGAGGAGGAAGTCCTGGTCATCAGAATCCCAGGATGCGGAGGTGTTCAGAGGCCAGGGAAGAAGATCCAAGGTGGTCTGTTGAAGGGGAGCCGTGAAAGACGATGATGGGGATAGGGAGGGCCCTGCAGCTGAGGATGGGCCCAAATAAAAGGACAGGGAGTGATGATACTACCCAACTGACAGTAAGGCACACCCGTCCAGAGAGAAGACACACAATAGGCACTTCCAAATATAAAAGACCCAAATAAACAAGCCCAGCATGAGGGTCAAAGCCAGTATGGATCCCAAAGTCCGAGACAGTGTTTACCAAATTCAGAGCAACTAAGGGAAATCTCCAGCATTAACAGCACTGACGTTTATTTCGTGCTTTGCTGTTTGCAAAGCATTTTCACAAAGTACATCTGACCTTTGAGGGGTGAGTGGGCAGTGGGGTCTGCATTTGCAGCCAGAGGCCCTCATAGTGTCCCTTGCCAGCTATGGGATCTAGCCCACATTGTGGGACTTCTCAGAACCCACTTTCTTCATTTGTAAAGTGACTAAACAGCCTCACCCATCCTACAGTGTTGTGAAAATTAAACCGAAGTGCTGTGCAAACATTCTGGGTGGTTCTGTGGCTCACCACCAGAAGGGGGTGGGGGTGGGGGACCTGGAACCCAGACATGTGAAGCTAGGACTCTCATGTCTCTACCAGCAAGCAGATCACTCCACTCTTCCATCCCCACCGGTCTTAACCTGGGCGGATTTTAAAGCCCAGTAGCACAAGGTGATGGCCCCCCTCCCTGCATCCTCAAAGCACTTAAGGATGTTGAAAGCCTCTTGTTCTCTCTTGCCCAGGAGGGGTAGCCAGAAGATTAGTCATCTTCCAACCTCTTACCACCACCACCCCCTGATCTCCCAGGGGAGTTGGGACAGAAGCAGTCTGAGTGTGGTGATTCTGGAACCACATGGTTTTTGATTGGACCAATGAGTGGCGACTTCTTCATTCTGCATGACTGGGACATGAAGTGTTAGCAACTTCTTCATTCTGCATGACTGGGACATGAAGTGTTAGCAACTTCGGGAAACTTTCTATTCTCATTGGCTGAGGGAACAGAAGTGGTGAACGTTGGACCAATCCCAGAATTTCTGGTGGCAGAAGGCGAGGCTTCTAGCGAAAAGGGAGGGATTAGAGCATGGTTGCATCTCCCTCCTGCCACTCCTGACTTTGTCCTCCAACACCTATAACTTTTTGAGGAGCTATCCCACAATTGAGCATATCCCACCTTAACTGCAGCTTTGTGAGATGTGCAGTGTGTTAGCAGTTTTAAAAATCAGAAATAGGGGGAAGTCCTATTAAGAAAAAAAAAAAAAAAGGAAGAGGGATCCCTGGCTGGCTCAGTCGGTGGAGCATGCAACTCTTGATCTGGGGGTTGTGAGTTCAAGCCCCACATTGGGTGTGGAGATTACATAAATAAAAACTTTTTAAAAAGACAAGAAAAAGAAGAAGGTTAAGTGACTTGTCAGTTACTTATTGGCCTACCTGGGCCTAGAATTCCAGGGATGACTCTCATCCATTTAACCCTTGGGGTGGCCATGTGTATGGAAGCCCAGGAACGGGACACGAACCTCCACCTGATCACATTAGTACAGCCCATTGGATCAGTTTAGCAGGTAATGGAGTTATCACCTTGGAAAGTATTTTTAGAAAGTGGGAAAAGTTAGGTGGGAAATCAACTTTGGTGGGAAGGGGGAGCAGGAGAGCTGGGCAGACCCTGGAGGGAGGGCAAGGGAGAGGGGCCCCCATGCCCAGCAGACCTTAATATTCCCTGCAGCACTTTATAGTTACTATAGGACTTTCACATCCTGCACTTACCTGGTTCCTTACAGGGTAGAACAGCAGGTGGTTTCTATCTCCGGGGGGAGGGGACGTGCTCAGGAGTTAAGAGCCTGGACCACCAGCTCCTTGGGGTGGGGGCAGTGCTCCAAGTCCACACTTGGCTGTCCCTCCCACCCTTCCTCCACCCACCCGGTTTAGCAATGGGTGCAGAACCATGTATGCAGATCCTCAGGACGTGCGTGGGTGCAGAGGTCTGTGTTCATGTGCTGAGGGGGGTGGGTTCGTGGGTGTACCTGGAGTCTTTCTGCGTGCTGCCCTGCGGGGGGCCTTGTTGCCTGCCGGCCAGCGGCTGAGCGTGAGCTGAGCCCACCCGTGCACCCGCGGGACGAGGCTACTTTGTGCCCCCGGGGAGCGGTGGCCCTTCTGGCCGGTCTTGGCCTGGCTCCGCTCCCTTTAGCCTCTCTGCTTCTGTCCCCGGGTGTCTCCTTGCACCCCCATCTGCAAGGGTTTCCAATTTCCTCCATCAGTTTTTCCGACCTGGTCCCCAGGGCACTGCGTGCCCTTTCCAGTAGCTCTGACTTATCTGGCAGCGGGAGGTCAGGGGAACGGGATTAGTTTGAGGGGGCGGCCCCTGGAAGAGGGAGGTCTGCGAAAGCGGGGGAAGGAGAGGGGGGACCAGGACAGAGCGTAGAGGTGCCGGGGGCGTGGGGCGATAACTCAGCCAGCAGTCACCCCCTCCATCAAAACCCAAGGCACCTCCCACCTTTAGTCCCGCTGCCCAGCCGGGACAAGGGGCGGAGTCTCGTCGGCGGGACTTGAGGTCACCCAGCTGCGCCCGCTCCCGGGCCCGCACGCCGCCCTCCCCCCCCCGGCACCTGCTCTCCGCCCCCCCCGCCCCCAGGCCGCCCCGAGTCCACTCCAGATCCGGGCCGGGTTTCCTCCGCGCCACTAGGGTCTCCGCCCCTCGGAGCTGCGGCCCGTGCCCAGCAGAGCGTCGCTGCGGGAGGCAGCCCCCGAACCCCGAGCCTCCCGGAGCGCGCGCCCGCGTGCGGGACTGAGCCGCGACGCAGACCCCACACCCGCACTCCAACTCCGAGCTGGGACTGCTCCGGTCCCCGCGCGTCACCCGAACTCGACCCTCGGGGCTCCGAAGTGACCCCTCTCCCGGCACCGTTCGCTGTCCGCGTGGCCGGCCCGGCTCCGTGTCTCGGCATCCCGGCCCGGGCTCCGCATCCGGCGAGGTAGGGGGCCGCGGGCCTTGGGGGCTGGGGGCTGGCGTGCTCCTCCTCCACGGAATGGGGGCAGCAGAAGGCCACAGCCCCCCAGGGCAAGACAGCCGCTGCGCCCCCTACAGCCCTACCCCTCCGGGTCCGGTGACCTAGATAACTGGGACCGGGACTTTGCCTAGATGTTCAAAGGCACTTTTCCGTCCGTCATCCCTCCCCCCACCCCGTCGCCATTGCGTTCCCACCTGTCCCCAGAGCCTGGCGCCCACGGGGACCCCTGCCAAGTAGGCAGCTTCCTTCGGAAGCTCTCCGCCTGCCGCCCCCACTCCTCACTCCTGGAAAGGGGCAGAGGAAAGATTGGGGAAGACTCTCCAGGACAGCCCCCTAATCCATGGCTGTGGCCCTGGGGCATCCCCCACCGCTCGTTGGTCTATCTTCCTCATCCCCTGCATCTGCCCCATTTCATCTTGACTCCCCTGCCTCTGTTCCCGAGGTCTCTATTCTCTTCCAGACTCTTTTTCTGGCTTTCTCCTCCCCTTGACCCCTTCCCCCTTCGCCCACCGTGGGGAGAAGGAGGTGTATCGTTGCTTTCTATTTAGGTCTCCCTGGGGAGGGCGTGCAGTGCTAGGACTTTTTTGGCATCCGCTGGACCCCGAGTCACGAGGTGTCATGTCTGTGTCTGGTATCTGTGCCTCCTCCCACTCCTCTCTCCCATCCTCTCCTGCCCCACACCTCCCTGTCCGCCTTTGTCTCCTTCCTGCCTCCCTTCCTGTCCTTTTTGCTCTCTTCTTTGGGCGCTTTGTGTAGCTTTGTCTTTGTCTCCGCCTCTCCGCTCTCTGCTCCCTCTGCTCCCTCTCCTCCCTCTTCCAGCTCCGAGAAGCTGTCGACCTCAAGGGCATCAAAATTTCAGGTGTGTGGGGCGCGGTGGAGGTGGGGTGGGGGCCTCCCAGCATGCCCAGCGAGGACTGTAATCATCCCCTCCCGGAGTGATCATTCATATTTATAAGATTGAAAGAATGGATCCAAGGATGCGGGGATATGGAGGGCAAGGGAAACGCTGCCCCTCTTCCTGGAGCTGGGTCCAGGAGATGCCTGAGCTACATCTCCCACAGTGCCCTGGAAGCACAGGGCTGCCTCTGTCTAGACACCTTATGGGAATGATAGTTCAAGGAGCCAGGTTGGAGGGCGCTATTCTGAGGGAATAGGTGTAGAGGAGTGCCCAGAAAGAAAATGAGAGAGATGAATTTGCAAGCTCTTCCTTCTTTCCTGTGACCCCCTTACAAACAACCTTATCCAAGATGTAGGTAGATGCACCCTTTGGAAAGAGTCTCCCCCATCTTGAAAGTGAAGGAGGGTAATGGAAGCCTAATGTCTTGAATTAGTTGGATGTGTCCTTGTCTACAAGTTTCTCACATTCTGTCCCTTTTGGGGGCAATGGGGAGTTGCTGAGCTCAGCAGAGAACTACCAGCTAGTATTTTTCAGGGACCCGTGAACAGCTGGTGAGTTTGCCTGGAAATGTAGATGGAAGCCACAAGCTAACTTGTTCATTTCCTGAGACCCATCATCCCCAGAGCCTGCCACAAGGAATCTGATGCTTGAGCTGGCCCCAGGCTTGTTGTTGGCATGGAAGTGCTGACAGTGGGGGGAGGGCACTGGGGTTTCCTCCCAGCATCCCATTTCTGGTTCTTAGCCTTTAGTACTTGGGACCTTTGACTCCTGCCAAGGAAGGACCCAGTAATTCCTATCCTTGCTCTTCAGCCTGGGCTTGGAGATCCAAATACACCAAAAAGAGGTCTCCCCCACTGGCCGGGGAGCCAGGAAAACTTAAACTTTAGCCTGGCTCGATCCAAGCTGAGTCACCTTAGGCCAGATCTTAACCTCCTTGGGTGTCCGTTTCCTCATTGTGAAAGAAGTGGGTTGAACCTGAAGGTCTCTGGTGGCTCTAGCAGGAGCTCTAAGATCCTCTGAGTCTGGCTTCCCCTCTTCTCTGATGATATTGGCCTGATGCTGTCTTACCTCATCCAGGTAAGGATTACCTGGGAGGGCCTTAGACAACAGCATCAGGCTGAAAAGAAAGAGGGAAATGGGGCTCTTGTTTTGAAGCTTTAACTGTATAGCAAGCATGCTGTGTTTATGTAAGCTATGTTTGTGACATGGAAGCTAAGACCATCCCTAAACTCCTTGGTGTCATTGTTTGTCCCCTCTCCCAAACCTAGGTCATGTTCTTGTTAACAACAACAAAACAACCAAACCAACATGATCCCCCACAAAGTAGCTGATATATGTGTCTCCTGGGATGTTGGTTAATGAGGCTTAAGGTAGGTTATGTGAAGGGACTATTATAACTGGCTGAAAGAGAGGAAGCGGATTTAATTGGTTGATCTGGTTTGTCTGGAGAAGAGAGGTCTGGAAATGAAGAGTCATTAGGACTTGGGGAGGGGGCTTTCTCTTGGCCCTGGCTCTGGCAGGGAAAACAGAAGAGCTGGAGGCCAAACGGTGACAGATCCAGAGGAGTTAACCCAAAAATGAGAATAGGAAGGACACAGAAAATCTTGAGTAGGAGGTAGGGTAAGAATTACAGGAAGAATTTAGAAAGAAGAACAGAGGGAGAGAGAAAATCAGAAGAGACTCTCTGGAGGGAAGGTAAATGGAAGAGGGGCATAGGGGATCTACGTGACATTCTGTTTGCAGGAGCTCCAACAGAGCCCTTTCCCAAATGATCATCTGGCCCTAGAGTGGAGCCAGGTCTCCCTATGGAGAAGGAGGAAGGAGGAAGGGAAAGGCGGGTTTGATAAGCCTGGGAGGAACGACTTGAAATTTTCTCATGTCCGCTCTGGTTTTTGTTTGAATATATGTGTCAGAGGTGGGAGTGGAGGGTACTGGAGTGGCAATAGGGGGAAGATCTGGAGTCTACACCCCCCTTTGCCCTGGGATTGTGACTGGCAGTGGTAGGAAGGGGGGATTGAACCCTCTGTTTTTCCCAGGGACCCCTTTTGTAGGGGGAGTGGAGATGGTGGTTTCTCATGTTCTCACAGAGGTCTTGGAGAGGTGGGGGGACCCTTTCAATTTTTGACCCCTCCAAGGGCCTTCTGCCCCTTGTCTGGGTCCCTGGGAGCAACTGGGGGCGAAGGAGATCTCGGGACAGTGTCTGAGGAGCTCATGGGGTTCCTGATTTGTGACTGCTGAGGTCCCAACCCTGGAAGGGTTGGGAGCTCTGGGAGCTGGTCGGAGCAGGAGGCCCTGTATTCCCAGGGTCTGTGTGGAGAGCAGAAGAGAAGGGGTATTTGTGGAGGAAAGGGCTGTGGGGACTGGGTGTGTAGGGGGCCCCATGTGGAACCAGGGGCTCTGACCACAATACTGGGTTGTCTTTTTTCTGCAGGGTAATGAAGTTGGAAGCTAGTTGTGCTGCCAGCTCAGAGGTCCCTAAGCCTGAAAAGGAGGCTGAGCCAGATGCGGAGCCGTACTCAGACACCCGGCCACAGGAGGCGGCTGCCAAGTCCAGATCTGGATCCGGGCCTGAGGCTGAGACCAAGACCCTGGGGGCTGAATCGGGGCCTGAGGCCAAGGCCAAGTCCTTGGGGGCCAACCCCAGGTCCGGATGGGGGCCTGAGGATAAGGCCGAGCCGTTGGACTTCGTGGTGGCACAGAACGGGAGTTTGAGGAGGTGCTGGCCATCTCTGGGGGCGTCTACGGTGGCCTCGACTACCTTCTCAGCCTCTACCACAGCCGGCTCCGGGATCCCGACGGCACCTTGGTGCTGGCCAAGCATAACGGAGTGGTGAGACCGTGGGCCCTGCTGAAAAGGGGGTGAAGCTACATTTGGGTGACTGGGATCTTAGGAAGGAGACGAGGCGAGGCTCTCGTCCGGATGCTGAAGAGTGGGTCTGCTTTGGAACCAAAGAGTAGGGCGTGCGGATCCAGGGGCCCAGCCAGTGAGCGTAGAACGGAGGATGTGTAGTACTTGGAATAGCGGAGGAACCGGAGGGCGGGACTGGGGACAGCTTCGGTCTTTGAAGATTCATTTGAGTTTCTGGGGGCAGAAGCATAAACAGAAAAGAGCAGGCAAGAGAGGGTAGACTGGAGGTGAGAGCAAGAGTGGGGTCAAGACCCCCGAGTGGACTGAACTCTCGCACAAAGAGCACCCGGAAGCGGTGAGCGGCACAGGCTCCGAGAGGGGGTCGGGGCGTAGCTAAGAAGCAGCGGGGGCGTGGCAGGGGCTAGGGGGCGTGGCAAGCTCCTGGGGGTGGAGCCAGGGAAAGGGGGTGTGGCGATCCTCAGGGACCTGGTGCGAGCCGAGCTGGAGCATCTCAGGAAGTGGACGGAAAAAAAAAAAAAAAAAGAGGTGGACGAGACCCGGACGAATGGGCGTTCTGCCGGCTCTGGAATTCGAGACCCGAGTGCTGAGGCGATCTCCCTGGGCAGGCCCGGGTCTGGCCTGGCGCCCGGGGTGGTGACGACGGAGTGCTCAGCGTGTGGGAAGAGGCGAGTCCTGTGAGCCGAGAGCCCCGGCAGGGGCGGAGGGCCCCCTAACCGCGTCAGTCCGCAGATCGCGCTGGAGTCGGTGCACGTGATCGACGCCCGGGAGACCGCGCTGGTGCGGGGGCTGCGCGTGGCGTCCTGGGAGCGCGGCAAGGGCGTGGCGCGACAGCACCCGGGGGTCAAGGTGGCACAGGTTCACCCGGGACGACCAGCTGGGCCCCCGGGAGCTGAAGAAATACCGCCTAATCACCAAGCAGGTGAGAAGGACTCGGGAGGTCAGCTAGCCAGGTGTCCTCCCCCCTCGCCCAGTCACCGGCTTGCTTTCTCTGCAGGCTCTGCCGAGGGGGGGCGCGCGTGAGCCCAGCCCCGGACTCCCAGTCCCGACCCAGACCCTTTTGCCCAGGGGCAGTCAAAAAGCTCCCGACTCCCAGCCGTCAAACCCTCAGTCCTTACTCCAGATGGCTGCGGAGCCCAGGCGTCCGGAGTTCCGTGACCCTTCCTCTCCTCTATTGATTCTGCCTCCCTTCAGGGACCCAAAGATCCTAATCTGAGGCTTTGTCCTTTCCCTCCGCTTCCCCTATCCTACCGACTGATCTATTTCCCACCCTTCCCCTCCCCTCGGAGACCCAAGGCCCCACACTGAACCCGCCCCTCCTTGGGGATCCAGGCACATACTCCGAGGCCTCGCCCCTGGTTCCTCCATGCTACCTTCGGGGGGCCGGGGGCAGGCTTTCACATACCCCACTCCACCTGGCCCGGCACGGTTGGTCCTCCCGAGGGGCCCTACTGGGATCCCGTAAGTGTGAATGTGGGAGTGAAGACGCCGAGAGGCGCTGGGCTCTCCAGGCCTCCGCGCCCACCCCGCGCTCACCCCTGAACCCCGCGGTGCTGCGGGTCTCTGGCACCTTCTCGCGGCTGCCCACCGAGGCCGTATCGTCGGAGGCTGGTGGCGACGTGGCACGCCTCCTGCTGTCGCCCTCCGTGCAGCGCGACGAGCTTCCGGGCGGGACCGTCATCCAGGACGGGCAGCCCTACCGGCCGAGGGAGAGCAACCCGCGCCTGCTGGCGGCCAAGGGCCTGGAGTGGCGCGTGCACAGCCGCGCGTGCCCGCGCGTGCTCACGCTGTGCACGCGCGCCTTCCCCATCCCGCAGGGCGGTGACTGCACGTGGCGCTACCTCAACATCAACGCCTTCGGCAGCGATGGCGTGCAGGTGCAGAGCCAGCTTCTGTGGCACCTGCAGCGCTAGGCCCCGCGCCTCGCCGGCCTCATCGTCCTGTGCCAGCTTTTCCTAGAGCCCCAGTTATGGTCACAGCTGGCTGACTTCTGCCAGGCCGGCTTGGGGCTCGAGCTGGTCAAGGGTTATACAGAGCAGTACCTGCTGGAGGCCGACAGCTAGGGCCTCTCCTGTCGGAGGGGAAAGAAGCAGCACTTTAGATCTGCCCTCGGGCGCTGATCTCCAGAGAGCCCTGCCCGCCACTGTTTGCAAGCTCCGCCCCCTCCCCCTGCGCTCCGCGGCGGGCTCTGAAGCCCAGCCTTCCTCGGAGCGCCCTCCCTAACCGTTTTACCCTTACTTCTCGGTCGTCCATCCTGCCTCTAGCGCGCCCAGAAGCTGTTGCCCACGCCTTGATCCGAACCGCCGGGTTTGGGGGAGGCCCTTGCGCTGCTATTGTCCGCCCTTTCCCCCTTTACTGGCCAAAGAATGGGTTCCTTCCCAGGCTTCAGAGCCTTTCCTTGTCCGTCGCCCTGGCCTGACAGTGAACTCTGCCCTTCCGGGCTTCTCCCTTCTGCCCCCTCGTGGGTGGAAGCGGACAGAAGGGTGTGCTATGCCCAGCTGCCCAACACGCATTACTTTTCTTGCTCCCGCCCTTTCTCAAACTCTCAGGGCTTGCCCGGCCCTGCCCTCCTTGCCTCCCTCCCAGCCTTCTGTGCTTCTGCGTCAGTGTCCTCTCCCTCCTTCTCTCTGTGCACCCATCCTCCTCCTCCCTGGGCCTCCCAGACACTTAGCTCCTCTCATGGTCCATTTGTCTGCTCCTCCATTCCTCTTCCCCGTGACCTTTTCATCACCCACCCTGTGTGCAATACGGTGAGAGAGGCTGTCAATGTCCTAGAATTATAATGCCCTGTTGACCCTCCGGTGTCGCATCTTTCCAAGCCTGCCCCCTCTGACGGGTTTCCTCCAACTTTGCACCATGTTGCTATTTCAGAGGCCCCCTTCCCATGCCCCCAACCAGTGGCCTGAACTGGGCCGTGGACCAGGGGGTTTGGGCTGGAGAGTTTGGTGTGGGGAGGGCAGATCCCTCAGCCCAGTATGGGGCTGTCTTCCGGTTCTAACCAGGCTGCCTTCTGGCGCCCCTGGAACCCCCACCTCCAGATATTTCTGGACATCCCTCCCTTCCTCGGGTTTCTTTATGCTTTTTGGACTTTGACAGTTTTCTATTTGAATGCAAGTAGTAACAGCTGCAATTGCTCAGCTGTGGATCCTCACATCTTCCACAGAGGGAGGAAACAGAGGCTCGCAAAGACCAAAGTGCCTTCCAAGTCACTCAAAGTAGCTGGGAGCCCGGCAGGGACTAGAATTCAGGTGTCCCACGCCCCGAGCATGCCTCAGAACCGCACTCCGTGTGACCGTGAATGCTTGAACTTGTCGTTGGTCGATGGACAGTCGGCGGGGATTTGTTGACAGCAAGCACAGGGGTCGCTGGGGATGGAGTCAAAGACGTGGGCAGAGGAGGGCGCCTGGAGGTGGAAGAAGGTGGGCAAAGAGGACAGCCGCTGCTTCATCACCTCCCCCAGTCCCGGAGGCTGGTGGCGACGTGGCACGGCTGTGCGGCACTGCCTTGCTTGGCTGCCTTGGGCGCCTGGCCACGCTGCCACCCTCCCTGTCGCTTCAACCGCCGCTGTATTGCAATAAAACGGACCCTTAGCCCTCCCTCTGTGTCTGTTTCACTTCTCAGTGGGGGAGGGGTGAGACGCATTATCCGCCCCCTCTCCCTTCCCCAGCAGCCTGTATTAGAGAGGATCTCTAAGCCCTGTGGCAATGGGGCTAATGACTTCCTGGAGCTGGAGAGGGCTGCTGGCCGCGGCTGCCCCCACCCCCACCCCAGCCAAGCGGCAGAAAGAAGCGGTTGCTCAGGAGCGAGGAGGGCAGCTGCGCGGCGCCCTGGCAAGCCCGGGTCTCTCTTTCCCCTGGACCTGGGAGTCCGCTGCTCCCCCAATTCTATGGGCTTCTCTCCCAAGTTCCCTTTGGCATCCAGGACCGGCCTCCCTCAGCCCCACAATCCAGGCGTCTAACTCCCGGCTCTCGGCTCTCTTGGCCAGAGCGCTCGCTTTCCGGATTCCTGGGTGGGCACCGCGCGGAAGGGGGAGGAGGTGGAGGGAGCTTGGGCGCCGCCCCCCCGGGAGCCGAGCTCCAGAGCGCCGGAGACTGCGATTCCGAAAAGTAACACGCGGGGGCGCCAGGACGCGCGGACGCAGGCGAGGCAGCGCAAGGTGGTTTCCGTCCGTGTGAGTGTGTCCATGGGCGTCTTTGTGTGTCTGCGTTTCTGTACATGTGTGTACGAGTCACAGGGTGTCCGGGTGGGATGTATTCGGGACAACGTGCCTGGTGTACCCCAGAATCAGGTACTCCAAGTGGCTTTTTGATGAGGAGGATGCTTGATATGTTACTATGTATGTGTGGATGGGGAGGTAGGCAACTGTGTATCGTCGTGTGTGCAAGGCGTAGCCTGTGAGTCCCTGAAACCGCATCTTGGATTTTTGAAGTCACATTCCTTCAGGATCCCTCCCACCATTCCATGTAAAAGGAACGAGGGCTCTCAACGCAAATCTCCATTACCCTGGTCCCATCTTCAGCATGTGTCTGAGTGACACTGCCAGGCTAGGTGTGATACTGTGTTTGTGTAAGTGGGTGTGTCTCAGAATATCAGTGTAACTCTGAATAACAACAGTATGTTTGTGTGTGACAGGTGGATGTTGGAGGAGGCTGGGTCAGAATTATGAAAATACACAATTCGCTTTCTCTGGTTAGTTTGTGGATATCACCTTCGTGGCGTGTGTGTTTTCCCTTCTCAGTCTCTCCAGAAGCTGTCTCTCTTTGTGTCTCCCCTCATCTCTGTCTCTTTCTCTCTCATTCTCTTGGTGACTCATCTCTGCGGCTTTGCCCTCCCCCGGCTTGCTGGGTCTCCCATCCCCCACTCAGGAGTGGGTGGGGGTATGAGAGAATGGGACCCTGGAACTGAAAATCAGGGTGAGCACCCCTTTCCTGTTACTCATCATTCCCAGACCCACCAGTGGCCCCCAGCCCCCTCTCAGTCCCCTCCCCAGGACTCCCCACTCTACTGAACAGGGCTGGTAAGGGGATAGGGCAATGATGCTTTTTAATGGGGCCATTTTTAGGGGGACCCTCAGCACCTTCTTTCAGTTCAGAGTGGAGACCCCTGCCCCTCTCATAAAGTGCCCCCCTCCCTGCCTGTCCCCCCATCGCTGATGCAATGAAAGGCTGCAGAGGTGAGTCACCGGTTGGGGGGAAGGGAGAGTTGGGGGGATGGTGAGCTGCGGGGTCCCCAAGCCCCTGCCCTCTTTTTCTCTTCCAAACCTTCTCAGGGAAAAGACACAGTACTCTGTCCACCCCCCTCCCCTGGCTTTCCAAATCTTCAGTTTGGATCACTACTCCATTGGACCCCATCTTCTCCTGCTGCCCTCTTGGAGAGTATGAGAGATTCAGAAACAAAGACAAAGAGAAGGATTTATACTAATAACTCAGCAAACACCAGGCATCCCCTCCAGGTCCCCATCTCAGCACTGGCTTTTCTAGCTCTGTCTCTCCATTCTCTCTCTTTCCTGCCATCTCCTTCCTCTACCGATTCCAGGCAACTGTCCCCAGTCCAGCTCTTTTCCAGAAGCCCCTAGAGGCAGCAGGGTATGAAGGGCACAGCACATCTCTGAGAGGTGGGATGTGTGTGAATGAGCAGACCCACGTAGGGAACTGAGATGAAGACAGGCAGAAACAGACCCAGAGATTCAGAGTCCATGTAGACATGATCTGGATTGTGTTATCACCAAGCCTATTGCTGTGGATGCCCTGGCTTGGTGCCCACCTCCCTACCTTGCTGCCCCCCTCCCTCCCTTACCCCATGCTGACTGAGATTCTTGGGATGTCAGGGTCTGAGAAGCTCCCCTGGGCTTCTGGGCTGAGTGGAGGAAGGAAAGGGTGAAGAGTTGGGGAAGAATGGAAGAATAGAGGAACACTCTGAAAACAAGGGGGCAAGGACCTGAACTTGCGGGCAGCAGATGAGTGGGTTTACTGTACAGAAATCTAGAGATAGTGAATGTGGGGGAGGGGCAGGCAAGATCAAAGACACAGAGACATCTACATAACTTGTAACATAAATCAAAAAGCAGGGAAGGATTCAGAGAAATGCACAAAGACGCATGGGTACACACACACACACTATTGACACAGCAAGCCAGGCTCACTTTTCAGACACCAGCAGGTGCCCAGACTGGATGCACTCAAAGTCTCCCAACTACACAGGTATACAGACACTCAGAAGGATCGGAACCCACACGCACTCAATACTTATACAATGACATCTGGAAACAGGCAAAAAAACATGGCCACACAGATTGCAAGAGAAGATTTCATATTTAAAGTGGAACACTATCATGCCCATCCACTCTATCTGATTAAATACACAATTGGTCTTCCAATTCCCTTTCTCCCCCCTCCCATATGTTTCATTAAACTCTGCACACACACAAACCCACATGCACACATATGTACATGTGCACATAGGTGTGTGTGCACATATACAAGCCCACAGGAACACAAACCGTTTCTCTAGGTGCCTGTCTCCCCTCATCTTACACTTAGTTGTTAGCCCCATCAGCCTCTCAGTCTGCCCCCCTTGGCTCCTTCCCTCCCCTCTTCCTTCTCTCTTGGATGGCTTCCCCTCCCCCCTCCAGATGTCTGAGCCATCTCTCTGATTCATCCTCCTCGGGAAGGTAACGTGACCCCCTCCCCATTCCACTGCTCACAGTAACCAGGCTGGGAAGATAAAGGGGAGAAGAAGAGGAGGAGAAAGAGGAATGAGGGGGAGCCCCCAGGTTAGGCAGTGGTCCTAGATAATACTGTGTGTAAGGGGTGGGGGGCGAGGCACAGCCTTGGGGTCTGCTGCCCCCTCCTCTCTCTGCTTTCTTTGGTATTTCCACAGTCACCTTGGTTCTCAGTGCTGTGTTGGTGGTTTTTTTTGTTTTTTTTTTTTTCTCCTTTAGCCTGTTCCTTCTACCTGTTCCAGATTCCTTCTTTCCTCCCTCCCTCTCCTGCTCCCATCTCTTCTCTCTTTCCTCTCTCTACTCCTCCCCACCTCTTTCCCTGCAGAGCTGATGGGCTTTCTT